CTGCACTCCAGTCTGGACGACAGAGTGAGACTCCAACTCAAAAAATAAAATAAAATAAAAAATAAAAATAAATAAATAAATGCAATTCATTAAAAAAAATCAAATGAAACAAATGAACCTCACTGTGTACCTGGTGGATGGCATTACCTTACAGAGAAAAACGATTCCAAATTACTGTTACCACACAGTCATTTGCCCAATATTCTTAGTGGGATATATTCTGAGGAGAATTGTTTTCAGTAATTTTAGCCATTTTCAGAAATTTCATTATTAGTAGTAATGTTGGTGTTATTACCCTGAGACCTAATATAATTATGATGGTGTCTTTGAGAACTGAAGTTTTCAGTTTAAAAATTAATTAATTAATATGCAAGATCAACAATGTTAAGAAAAACCTGATAACCTTGGATCGGAATTGACAGTATCAATATAAACTTATGTGTATTTTATCAAATATACATATCTCCTAGATATGTTCACTGAAAAAGCCTAGAAAAATTACCCACACAGTAGCAATAAACATCACTAGAGCGCATACCATGGTCTCTAAACATCATTTCCCAGTAAAATGAATGCCCATTTCTCTTTGGAGCTACATGTCCAATTCCAGGTCTAAAGTAGAAATCTATGATTCTAGAACATCTTATCATACTAGAAAATAAGGAAGCTATCAAAGATTACTGAGTTTCTATCAGAAGGACTCAGAAGCCAACTTGAAGAGGCTTCCACTGGCTGTAGAAAGAATAACTTGAGCATATAGGATAATGATAGTAACTGCAATGGATGGAAATATACCAGACACAGTCTTGACACAGTTCCATAAACGGCATTATTGTTATAGTAATTATTCAAAAGCTCACCTAGTGATCTCTCTTTCCATTGAATTTCTATGATACTCACTGCCTGTAACATTAATTTGATAATGAATAATATGCCACCTTATTCTTTTCAATAGTAGTCTGCCTCTTATATGCCTTTTTAAAATTGGCTCATATCTTAAAAAGGAATATATAGTGTAAAAAATACAGTAATGTTAAAAAGTATAAATAAAAGCAGTTTTTTCTTCACTCACACATCCTCAACCTCTCATAATTATCTCCAGTCTATCTCCCAAAAAGTAAGCACTATTATATTTCTTAGAGTACACTTTTTAAAAATAGTAGGCTTCTCTAAGTAAGTACAGTCATGCACTGCATATAACAACATTGTGGTCAGCAATGAACTGCATGTATGAAAGTGGTCCCATTAAGAATATAATGAGACCAGGTGTCCTATAATCCCAGCACTTTGGGAGGCTGAGGTGAAGGGATTGCTTAAGCCCATAGGTTTGAGACCAGCCCAAGCAATTTGATGAGACTTTATCTCTACAATAAATCAAAAAATTAGCTGGGCGTGGTGGCACAAGCCTGTAATTCCAGCTACTTGGAAGACTAAGGCAGAAGGATCACCTGAGCCCAGCAGGTAGAGGCTGCATGGCCGTGAGGGTGCAACTGCACTCCAGCCTGGGCAACAGAGTGAGACTCTTGACTCAAAAAAAAAAAGAAAATCTAGCACATACAATTGTGTACAGTATAATGCTTGATAATAAACAACTATGTTACCGGTTTATATACTTACTATACTATACTTTTATTGTTGCTTTAGTATACACTCCTTCTATTTATTTTTTTAAAAGTTAACTGTGAAACAGCCTCAGACAGGTCCTTCAGGGGATATTCCAGAAGAAGGCATTTTTATCATGGGAGATGACAGCTCCATGCATGTTATTATCCCTGAAACCTTCCGGTGGGACAGAATGTGAAGGTGGAAGACAGTGATACTGACAATCCTGACCTTGTGCAGACCTAAGTTAATGTGTGTATATGTGTCTTCATTTTTAACAAGAAAGTTTAAAAAGTAAAAATAAAATGAAAATTTTAAAAATAGAATATGCTAAGCCGGGCTCGGTGGCTCAACCTGTAATCCCGCGTCTTTGGGAGGCTGAGGTGAGCGGATTGCCTGAGCCCGCGGGTTCGAAACCCGC